CACACACACACACACACACACACACACACACACACACACACACACACACGCACACACACACACAGATGTATATGTATTCGTACCTTCGAGTGTTCGCCTTCATACGGCTCGCATATTGCATTTCATTTTGAACTTGTTAAAATTACATGCTGCAATAAGTCTCCCTACTTTACATAGCTTCTTTTTTAAGACTATATAGTACACATGACGGTTTCTAGCCAACAGCTACCCCCATGCTCGCATGTAACCGACTCAGATCGGATTAGATAATTTTAACAAGTTGTGTCTGTTTACTTTCATTGTTTACTTTTCACGCAGTACCTCCGAAGCTACTCCGCTCGGAAAAATTACCGGACACCGACGTTCAGGTGATAGAGGGCGCCAATGTAACACTTTACTGCGAGGCGACAGGCGTGCCGACGCCGGGAATCACGTGGCGTCGGCAGGACAAGTCGGCGATGAGCCTCTCACCTCCCGGTACGTTCACCCGTTCGAGACCCGCCATCATTTCAATGAGACACCGCCGAACGTGTTACGTTCGTAATGTTATTACGAATAAGTACGTTCTAAAGTATTTTTTTTAATAACGTATAGTAAATAATATAAAAGTATAAAAGTATAATATATAAGTATAATATAATATAAAAGTATACGTATAAAGGTATAATATAAAGTTCGCACTGTAGCAAAATGAATTATAACACGTGTTTACGTAGCAATCGTATTTAGATTTACGTTTGTCTTGGATGTTTGTCTTGGCGCTCTGCTGTTCTGCGTGCGTGGCCCCCGTAATTGAAAAGGTTATGTTCTAATACAGCAGCGACATCTAGCGGAAATCTATTGACTCTTTACAATGTGAGCAGCGCCGACTGGGGAATTTACCTCTGCATCGCGCAGAATGGAGTGCCGCCATCGGTGTCGCGCAGCATCGAGGTTCGCGTGGAATGTAAGCTATATCAGTGCATATCGATTGGTTTGCCTATAGAGCCTCAAACCCGCAGCCGACAATACCTCCTCCCTCTCCCGTTCTCCTCTTCCCTTCAATAAAACTCGCACTGGCAAACGCAATATAGCGAAAATTATATAGTCGCCGTTTGCAGCTCTCTCTCTCTCTCTCTCTCTCTCTCTCTCTCTCAAGCAGTGCACAATCGCATTTCGTGAATATTTAAGATTTAATGCGGCGGGGGACGCGTTTCTATGAACGCACGACTCGCCCCGAACGCTGGCTCACCCCCCCCCCACCACACACACACACACACGCCGACGTCCGGGCGTATATCTCTCCGATTAAATGCGCAGCCGAGACCGGCGTACGTCCGTATAACAGGTGGCGCGCGGATTCGGCCGTTAGTGCTGATAAATTGTCATTCATTACTGCCTGGCTCGCGGCTGCAAACGAGACACATAACTCTAAAGTCTCGTGGCGTTAAAGCTCCGAGCGGGAACATAATCACTGCTAATCTCTCTAATGCAGATCTGACGCTTCTTCGCTGTGCGTTTTATGCCGATAGACATTATTTACGCTGTAGAAACCTTGAAAGAACTTGATTGATTACGCTTCATTTGCATATTCATTTGAACAGACAAATGATTACGCACCCTTAAGTCTTTTTTTATATAATCCCCCCCCCTTCTCTTCATTGCAGTCAAACCGAAAATAATCGAGACAACATGGCGGGTAGGTGCTTCTAGAGGGCGCAACGCAACGCTTTCATGTACTGTGAAAGGTTTCCCCGATCCGGTTGGCTATTGGCATAAGAACAGGGTCATGTTGAACTCTGGTTCAAAATACGACACTCTCGTTCAGTCGCCGGGTTAGTAGTACTTCGTGCTAAAGTTCCTTGCTTTTCACGCATTTATATTAATCAATTCGCCCGAACGTGTATCACAGTTTAAAAAGTATTAAATATCGTTATGACACACATAAATCGTGTCCTGTGTGTGTGTGTATCACGGTGTATGCGTGTGTGTGTGTGCGTGCGTGCGTGTGTGCGTGCGTGCGTGCGTGCGTGTGTGTATGTGTGTGTGCGCGCCTGCGTGCGTGCGTGCGTGCACGTGTGAGTATTTAAATCCACTCGTTTAACACATTTTACGCGGGGTTTCTATAGAAAAATGCAGCCTGTCGATATTATCGTTTATTTTTTGCAGACACCGTCACAACATCTATAGCATTGATTATCCAGCGAGTAGGCGCTCTAGATTATGGCTTCTACACGTGCGTTACATCGAACCAGCATGGAACCACCGATGCCCGAGTAGAACTGTATGGTAACGTCACTTATCTACTACATGTATACATCTATAAATTTGTATTTATATGGTTATGGTTATGTATGTATTATATATATATGTGTATATAATAATAAGAAGAAGAAGAAGAAGAAAAGAAGAAGAAGAAGAAGAAGAAGAAGAAGAAGAAGAAGAAGAAGAGAAGAAGAAGAAGAAGAATGATAATAATAATAATAA